ATTATTGTTGGCGTTTTGACAGAGATTGCATTGAATCTGTAGTTTACTTTGGGTAGTATGTACATCTTAAAAATATTAAGTTTTCCAGTTTATGGATATAAGATACGTTTTTTTATATATACAGTTTTTTATTTGCCAACTATTCAAAAAATTAAATTAAAATAAAACAAACTATAGATTTATTTTGAGAAAACTGATCTCTTTACAATCATTTGGGTCCTCTGGCTTGTATACGGGGGGTACATCTTGGATATGGGATAGTTTTAAGTTTGTTTAGTGTTCTTCAGCAATGTTTTGTAGTTTTCAGTGTACAAATCTTTCACCTCCTTGGTTAATTTTATTCCTAAGTATTTTATTCTTTTTTTTGTAAAGTTTATTTATTTATTTTGAGAGAGAGAGAAAGAGCATGCAGAGGAGGGGCAGAGAGAGAGAGAGGGAGAGAGAGAATCCCAAGCAGGCTCCATGCTGTCAGCACAGAGTCCAATGTGGGGCTTGAACTCATGAACCATGAGAACATGACTTGAGCCGAGATTGAGTCAGATACTTAACCGACTGAGCCACCCAGGTGCCGCCCCCCGCCCCCAGCCAAGTATTTTATTCTTTTTGATGTTATTGTAAATGGATTAAAAAAGCTCCCTTTTTTTGTTTGTTCATTGCATTGCAATGAAACACAACTTATTTTCTTGTTTTGACTTTATATCCTGAAGCTTTGCTGAATTCATTTGTTCTGGTGATTTTTGGTGGATTTTCTACAAATATAGGATTTTCTCCATTTGAGATCTGTTGGGATTTTTATTGGAATGGCATTGAATTTGTAGATTAATGTGGTGGATTACATTAATGGTAATTCTACTATTGAACTATTGTTATGTTGCTATGACAACTCAGTTGGCCATTATATACTCTTAAAATACGTACTTTGGAATTTGGTTTATTTTAATTTTTAATTCAATATTTGTGTTCATAATTGAGATGTGTGTAAAATTTTCTTGTCCTTTTCCAGTTTTGATATGAGTTGGGAAGCTTTTCTTGTATTTTTATTCTCTGAAACAGCTTGTATAAAATTATCTGTTCTTTGAATGGTCATAGAACTCACTTGCAAAATTGTCTGGGTCTGATGTTCTGCCAGAGGAAACCTGAATCCAAATTCATTTATTATTATTGTTTTTTTAAGTTTATTTATTTTTGAGAGAGGGAAAGACAGAGTGTGAGTGGGGAAGGAGCAGAGAGAGAGAGAGAGAGAGAGGGAGAGAGACAGAATCTGAAGCAGGCTCCAGGGCTCCCAGCTGTCAGCTCAGAGCCTGATGTGGAGCTTGAACCCACAAACCATGAGATCATGACTAAGCGGAAGTCGGATGCTTAACCAGCTGAGCCACCCAGGCTTCATTTTTGTGAATGGCTTTGGTAGGTAGGACTCGGAGGCGGCCCCCAAGGTTTCCATCCCTGCCTGTGGCCATCTCCCCTTGAGTGTGGGAAGGACCACGGATATGATAAGATATCACTGCCATGGTTAGTTTATAATCAGTTGACTGTGAGCTAACCAAAAAGGACCAACCTAATAAGGTGATCCTTTTAAAGGGACTGGGCCTCTCCCAAAACAAAAAGTTTAGAAGTGTGAGAGGGACTGTTGAAGGCCAGGTTGCAAGGACCTGAGTGCTGTCTCCAGGAGCTCAGAGAAGTCCCCAGCTGAAAGCAAGACAGTGGGACTCCGTTCACTGTGAAGGGTCTGGGAAGCGTGACTTTCTCTAGGTTGGCCTCCAGATGCGGGCACAGCTGGCTGACACCTTGATTTCAGCCTCGTGAGACCCTCAGCGGAGCACACAGCCACAATGACCTACAGAGCTGTGAGCTAATGAGTGCTATTTCAAGTTACAAAAACTGTGGCCAGTTTTTACACAGCAATAGAAAACTAATACAATTGCTCATGGCTTATTCGGGTTTTCTACTTTTTCAGTTACTTTGGATAATTTGCATTTTGGGGGATATATCCATTTTGTCAAAATTTTAACGTTGGCATAAAATTGTTAATAATATTCTTTTGCAATTCTAAAAATCTCTCCTGTCTGCAGTTACATTCCCTGTGTGTAAATACACTTAGGCATGTGTGCATACATGTGTACGTACACGTGCACTTGCATGAGCACTCGTGCAGATGCACGCGAGTGCTGTGTGTGTTTGTATATGTGTGTCTGTGTACAGGTGTGTACAGATACGCATACACTCTTTTTCTTGATTATTCTTGCCAGAAGCTTGTTCGTTTTATTAAACTTTCAGATTCGGCTGTTATTTCTCTATTTTCTGTTTTAAGCATGTCTACTCTTTATTAGTTCCATTTTTGTCTTTTCTGTATATTTACTGTTTTTCAAGATTCTTGAGGTATATCTGTGCTTGGTTTATTTATTTTCAATCTTTGAAAAAAATCATTGAAGTTTACAAATTTCCCCTAAAACATCACTTTAACTGAACCCCACATACTTTAATATGTGGTGTTTTAAAATATTTATTTTATTTAAACATTAAAAAATTTTTTAATTATTATTTTTTTAATTAAAATTTTTTTAAAATGTTTGCTTATTTTTGAGAGAGAGACAGAGCATAAGCGGGGGAGGGGCAAAGAGAGAGAGAGACACAGAGTCCAAAGCAAGCTCAAGGCTCTGGGCTGTCAGCACAGAGCCCAATGTGGGGCTGGACCTCACAGACCACAAGATCATGACCTGAACTGAAGTCAGATGCTTAACTGACTGAGCCACCCAGGCGCCCCTAACTTATTTATTTTCATGTTTATTTATTTTTGAGAGAGAGACAGAACACGAACAGAGGAAGGACAGAGCAAGAGGGAGACACAGACTCTGAAGCAGGCTCCAGGCTCTGAGCTGTTGGCACAGAGCCCGACTCGGGGTTGAACTCATGAACCTTGAGAGCGTGACCTGAGCCAAAGTCAGATGCCTAACTGACTGAACCTCCCAGGCACCCCTAAAAAAAGTTTTTAATGTTTATTTATTTTTGAGAGAGAGGGTGAGAGAGACAGAGCATGAGTGGGAGAGGGGCAGAGAGAGAGGGAGACACAGAATCCAAAGCAGATTCCAGGGTCTGAGCTGTGAGCACAGCTTGACATGGGGCTCGAACTCACGAACTGTGAGATCATGCCCTGAAGTTGGATGCTTACCTGACTGAGCCACCCAGGCACCCCTAAATGTTTATTTTTGAGAGAGAGAGACAGCATGAACGGGAGGGGCAGAGAGAGGGGGAGACAGAGGACCTGAAGCAGGCTCTGAGCTGTCAGCAATAGAGCCCGTCATGGAGCTCAAACCCACAAACCGTTAGACCATGACCTAAGTCGAAGTCGGACACTCAACCGACTGAGCCACCCAGGTACCCGCGAGTTTCTTCTTATTTTGACCCTAGCTTCATCTTAACTTTTATTACTCGTGCATGGTACTTTGACTGGGGGTGGGGACACAAGGCCTTCCTCATGAGGAGTCCAGGATGCATTCCAGCAGCAGAGCCAACAGGATTGTGGTGTTTTGCCTGAAGAGTGAGAGGGGCGAGGACTCAGGGCTGCAGCCCTGATCTTGCCTGAAATAAACAGTGGGCGAGTGGTGCTCACTGAGCCAGGTGGTGGGGAGGGGACCAAGGCCGGGGGCAAGAACCAAAGTTCCTTGGTCACCATAATGTATCACCTCTGGACTATTTATTTATTTATTTATTTAAGAGCACAAGTGGGGGAGGGGCAGAGAGAGAGGGGGACAGAGGATCTGAAGCGGTCTCTGTGCCGACAGCAGAAATCCCGATATGGGGCTCGGACTCACCAACTGCGAGATCGTGACCTGAACTGAAGTCGGACGCTTAACCAACTGAGCCATCCAGGTTCCCCAGCTCTGGACTTTTTAAAAGAAGTACATGTTTCAACACTTTTAAACAGTAGCGTTAAGACAAACAAACAAACAAACAAACAAACAAACAAACAGTTCTTTATTGTATGATGCTTGATATGCTATTTTGACATCCAGGTAGCAATGTTAGAAAGGCAGTTGGGTTTATGCGTCTGCACTTAATGATGTGTGTGCACTTAATGTGTGTGGTGCTCAGAGTTACAGGGTAGACCTGTCGGGCCTGAGCCCTGGGGCTTCCTCTTCTGGAGTCTGGTGGAGAAGGCCAGGGTGGCGGTCAAGACCCTGAGGGGCTGCCGGGGACTTGGAGGAAAACGAGGGGGTTGACCCAAGGGCAGAGAAGCAACCACTTAGAGAGGGAGACTTGACCATTGGAGTCAGCAAGACAAAGGCTTGAACGGCGTTTCAGGGGAATAGCGTGGGTGACATCCCACGGGGGGACAGGAGGGTGAGGTGGTGGGGACACCAAGGGCTGACCCTCTGCATGAGCTTTGGTGTGAAGGGAGCAGAGAAGTGGCTGTGCCGAGAGGTGGCTGTCTGATCTTCTGTGTTTTGAGATGGGACACCTTGGAATATAGCTTTCGGCTAATGGGATTGATTATGATGGCTTCCCTGAGTCCCTGTGCCCTCTCTTCCGCCTGCCCCACCCCACCCCGATCGGTATTCTCCTGAGAGAAGGTGAGGAAGGCTGTGTGTGGCGCCTGTTCGGGAGCCGCAGCCTCCGTTTTACTCGTTTCCACTCATCACCCCGTCTCGTGAGGCTGCTTGGGGTGCAGTCGGGGTTGGTTTGGGGACCGGGTTTCGGTTTGGATTTAGTTGGAGGGCAAACGCAAGGCCAGGCCAGGTGCCAGAGACCATGTGTCCTCTCAGGGTGATTCCGTTTAGCTGGAGGGATGGTCACGCCGGAAGCAGTCATTGCTGACATTACCGCGAGGACGTCAGGACTCAGTGCCTGCCTCGTCCTGCCACAGCAGCGCCACAACCTGTGGCAGCCTCGTGCTCAGACAGTGGGGGTCGCTGTTGTTGGGAGAAAGGACATGGGTGGTGGGGCCTGTGTTCTCTCAGGTGAATGTGGAAACCCTTACTTCCCTCCTTCTCTGTTCCTGCCAGGATCCTGGCCACAGCGGGCACTGACTTCGACCTGCGGACCCTGCGGGCCGTGCGTGTGCTCAGGCCCCTGAAGCTGGTGTCTGGGATTCCGAGTGAGTCTGGCAAAAGCAATCAGCCCCAAGCCTACCTGGATCACTAACACCCTCCCCCAACCCCACCATGGCCACAGCCACAGTTAAGCCTTAACCAGTGGGCCCTTTGGCTTGGGTGACTTGAAGCTCAGGGCTCCTGACCTGTGAGAACCAGGTGTGAAGAAGCCTGACATTCTCTGTGAAAGCCCAGAGAGTGGCTCTGTTGTTTTGCCCTGATTTGGCTTCCCCAGATGGAGACTTTGCTTCTCCTCACATGCTCTGCTACATTTCTAGCTCTTTGCTTCTTTTTCTGGGGTTAAAGCACAGACAAGAGACCGAGCAAGGTGGTAGGCAGGATGCCTGACAAAATAGTCAAAGGACCACCTGACTTGGCTCAGGCTTGGCAGGGCCTTGGAGAACTGAGGCCCGGTTAAGACATGCTCTTGGATTCAGCTGCTCAAGGAGCCACGCCTGGTTAGGAGCATGGCCAGGGTTACCTTGAGAGGCAGGGGCGGCCCTGACTCCTGTTCCTCAGTCCAGTGGAAGTCTGGTTTTCGGTTTCCTCAGGGCCCAAGTGGGCAGGGACTTAGGGCTATGTCCCCCTGAGGCTGCTGCCGGGGGAGCCCCTGTTCTGCCCCAGGACCCTGCCAGGTAAAGGCTCAGGCTTGTATCTAAGAGCTGGGGCCATGCGGGGAGGGGGTCATGGGGTTGAGCTTCCTCTGTGTGCTGAGTCCCTCTGGCTTTGTGGTCAGTGGTCAAACACTCCTGCAGGCAGGTCCCCTGCTTTGCCTTCTCTAAAGTGTTGGGGCCTGTCAAGATCTGCTCTTCCCTCCCAGCACCCCCTCCCCTCCCCTCCCCTCCCCTCTTAGGACTGTGTTCTTGCTCCACCCAGAGTCCTCCGTAGGTCCACACATCTCGCCAGCACCCACCCTCCACCAGACCCCAACTCTGACACGACACGCCCTGCCCCTCCCCTGCGCTGGGACTTCTCTCCGTCTACTTCCCTCTGAGACTTATGCTTGGTCCCCCACCCCGAGCACTCTTGTGTAAGCACGTGCGGTTTCCCCCGACTCCCCACGCTCCCTGCTCCGTCCCCTACTCTGAGGGCTCTCAGATCGGCACCTTGCCCCAGGACCCCCAGTCCTAAGCAGCCCAGGTGCTCGCCAGTCTGCCCCCCCCCCCCCCCCCCCCGCCCCCTGCACTGCCCACCCTGCTCTGACTTGCCCTGCTCTGGCTGCTCTGGCCCAGGTCTGCAGGTGGTGCTCAAGTCCATAATGAAGGCCATGGTCCCGCTTCTGCAGATTGGGTTGCTTCTCTTCTTTGCCATCCTCATGTTTGCCATCATTGGCCTCGAGTTCTACATGGGAAAATTCCACAAGGCCTGTTTCCCCAACAGCACAGGTGAGGCCTGGCAGCACCCCTTGGGCTCAGACGGGACCACAGACTCACTCATCCAGGAGACAGGCACTGTTCTAGGTGCCAGACGGATGGGGGCGGGGGGCACACACCACAACCTGAAAACCACAAAAACGTGAGTAAACACCTAAATGCAATGATTACAGGTTGTGGTACTTGCGGTAGAATAACTTGGGAGCCTGCTTCACAGAGATGGGCCAGGGGAGGCCTCTCTCCTGAGGGGCCAGGTGAGCAGCGATCGGACTGCCGTTAGGAGGGATTGCAATGTGGCCGCCAGGCCGGAGAAGTCCACTTACGAGGCGCAGCCGGAATAGAGGGGAAATCACGTGGGCTTCATGGCCGCGGTAGGGACTCCGAGTCTTCCTCTGAGAGAAATCAGGAAGACAGTGGAGGGCTCTGAGTGAGGACTGACGTCATCTGGTTGTTCTCGCTGCTCCAGGGAGGCAAAGGCAGAAACAGGCTTCCTCAGGAGGGCAACATCTCGACTGGAGAGACATGGCGGCTGCGGCCAGGCCGTTCTGGTGGAGACGGCACAACGGGTTGGGCTCTGGGTGTGTTTTGCAGTGAGGCGGATGAGCCACATGAACGTGTCAGTCGACGCAGAGAAAGCTCTGACTAAAATTTAAATCGTTCATGATTTTAAAAACGTCTTATCAAAGCACTCTGTAGGGCCAGTGTAGTGAGGCTTGGGCCCTGCAGCCCCCAGCCATCCTGTGGCCACACGTTGTGTGGGCTCTGAGCCGATCTGCCCGGCAAGCAGGGCCTGCGGTGGCTGACTCCAGAGTGACAGGCAACATCTGTGTGTCAGGAGAGCCTCAGTGTTAGTTTGGCTGTGAGAGAAAGGAGCGGTCAGCATTGTAGTGGTAGGAAGAGTTGGATGTTAGGGGTTTGTCGTTTTTGAGTTTAAGGCGAGCGAGTCCTGAGCGTGTTTAAACAGTAATGGGCAGGTTCCAGTAGGAAGGGAGAGGTTGACCAGTGGTTCCTGGGACGGTTGGTCTGAGCTCAGGGGGAGCCAGACTGTAGGCAGGGGGAGAGAGTTGGTGCAGGGAGGGAGGGTGGGGGGAGCAAGGGAGGATTTCCATTGGTGCTTGATGCCTGCCCACGTGTGCTGAGGCCTTCGAAGCCCAGGGGCCGCAGGAGGGGTTGGAGAACTTGGTGTTTCTGGGTTCAGGGTCTGTGCTTCATTCTCCTCTCCACAGATCCAGAGCCAGTGGGTGACTTTCCCTGTGGCAAGGAGGCCCCAGCCCGGCTGTGTGAGGGCGACACCGAGTGCCGGGAGTACTGGCCGGGACCCAACTTTGGCATCACCAACTTTGACAATATCCTGTTTGCCATCTTGACAGTGTTCCAGTGCATCACCATGGAGGGATGGACTGACATCCTTTATAACGTGAGTTGCATCTTGGCCCTGGGACTGTGGATGGACCCCGGAGCTCCTAGGATCCCATTTGGGGTGACATTCCTGACCAGAGAGCCTGTGCCCAGCCCCAAGTTCCTTCCTCTACCCTAGGATGAAATACAAGCCCCTTCCTTCAGATGACTCCACCAAGGGCCCACTGTCGTCAATGTCAACTCGAACCCTTGACCTAGGTCCTAGAGTCTCCAGGACAGCTTCTCTCATGAAAGTAAAACTGAGGGCCAGGTAGAGAGCCAGCAAAGAAAATGCCAGGGAAGATGCTACTGCTGCTGCTGGTCACATGGTCACAGTGCCAGTCCCTAAGGCTCACTGCAAGCTTGCTCCAAGCTAGGCCCTGCGTGAAGTGTCCTATCCCTGTTAACTCATAGAGTCATCTCAAGAACCCCATGTACAGTGAGGAAACTGAGGCATGGAGGGGCTGTTGAAGTTGCTCAAGGCCCTGCGACTGGTAGGCAGCTTGCTGGGAACTACTAGTTGTGCCATCCCTGCTGGGTTTTCTGGATGGAGGGAGGGAGAGGGAAGCCTGCTGGGCCTCTTGTTGTCCCTAGGCTGCCCGGTAAAGACAGGAGCAGGGCAGGGTTTGTGGCTGCACTCAGCAGACTCTCAGGAAGACTTCTCTGATGGCGCTGGGGCTCTGGGCTCAGAGTGTGTGTCTTGCACATTTCTGTCTTCTCTGCCGTGTCTATCTGGTGCTGTTTCCTCTTCATCCTCTTGCCCACGAGGATGCCTGCCTGTCACAGTGATGTACACAGGGCAGTCTGGGTTGGTACCCATGACAGAAGCTGGTCTAATGCCCTTGCCTGGTGGCCCATCTCACTGCCACCTCTCCTCCGTGTGACGCTCTTCTGGGAGGACTCGACCACAAAAGCTTGAGCAGAATTCTGTCTCTTTTCTTATGTGATGACCTCCCTCGCTACCTCCTACATGCTGTAGCCCCATGAGCCACCGGGGCATAAGAACAATGAAATTAGTCCCTCAGGGACTTTGGGAGGTCGACAAGGAAGGCACACGTGAGCTAGAAATCTTGGAAGGTTTGGCTGGGAAGGTATGGCTGGCGGATTGCTGTTTTCTGGATAGCTAGAGCGAGCTCTGCTTGTGGGCTGTGGGTGGAGGACTTGCAGGTACAAGACACCTCGTGCTGAACCTGCCACTTGGGTGCTGAGGTGGGGTTTGGGCTCTAAGCCCCTGGAGGCCTGGGTTCCCGGCCTCTAGGAGCCCGGGGAAGAAATGACGGTGCGATAGTCTGGTGGCATGAGGGACAGGAGGAAAGGGGCAGACTGGGGCCCTCTGTTCTGTGGGTGCATGGAAACCCAGGTGGATCTCAGGGCTAGGAATCCAGCAAGTGCTTGGGAAATGCTCACTGAGCGTGCAGGGGGAAGGTGGAAGTTCAGGAAAAGCTGGCCCAAAGTCCCCTGAACCAGATCCCTCCTTGGACTGGGAGTCGTGTCTCCTGACAGGCTCTGTTTAATTGAGGAAAAGAAGAACAGGCGCAAAGGCAGTTATGAGGAGCTTGACTGTCCTTTTCCTACAGCCGGTCAAGGAGCGATTTCCCAAGGACAGACCCTAAAAATAGCTCTGAGCTGGCCACATCCCTGCCAGCCCCACCTGAGCAAGGGCTGCATGAACAGGTCTCTGCAGCTTTCAGTGCCCCCTGGGACTTGGCCAGGGGCCCTGGTGACTCAGATGGGTGGGTCTGTGCCCTGTGTGGGAGGGGCTGAGCAGGAACTAGGCCCTAGGGCAGGACTGGTCACGAGAGCCACAGAGGGTTCATTTGGCATATACTTCCATTGGACCCGCTGGGCTCCGGGCACCCCCGAGATGCTACATGTACAGTGGTGAGCAGAAGGTGTTCGATAAAGGCCTTATAATGCCAAGTGCTTTAAAGAAAACAAAGGTGGATGAGGGGCAGGGAGTAATGAGTTAGACACCTTGTGAAAGCCAGGCCTGGTGAGGTCTGGAAGCCAGACGTGCAGGTGCTATGAGATTGTGCCTTGGCGGTTTGGCAAGGCACCAGGACACGGTGACAGTGGTGACCTGTGAGGTGGCCTAGACCTGGCTGGGTCCACTCTCCACACTGGGGGGTAAGAGGGTGAATTGCTGCAAATCAGATTGGGTGTTTCGAAGGGGATTCTTCAGAGAAAGAGCCTGCCGCTTGCCTCCAACCCAGTGCTCCAACCCAGACGTGCTCCTGGAGAGTGGAGCCCCAAGTGACAGTGCCGGGATTTCAAGGGCAGGAGCCACTGGCCTGCCACGGTGGGGTGGAGGGAGAGAGGTGGAGAATACACTCAATGTTGGGAACAGAGGAGGGTGTGTGAGTGTTTCTCATGGACCAGCTATGGCCAGGGGACAGTAGCCAGCCAAGAGCCCTTTTAAATTCTGACCAGGGCGAGTGACGTCTCAGTAGAGAACCTATGTTCACAACAGACTGCTGGAAAGATGGGGGTGGGGGTGGGGGAGTTCTCCAACTGAGCGAGAAATGGCTTGCCTGCATTTTGAAAAGTAAGTGGAGTCAAATGGGTTCCTGGAAGAACCCACAGAAATGCCTTGTGAGAGAGGAGTCAGCAGTAAATTTCCGTCAGGCCCAGAAAGATGAGATTATCTCAGGGCACGGCCAAGCATGGAAAAACTGGCCTTCCCTCCCACCCCCCACCCTTTTTCCTCCCCTGCTTGGATTGTGTCGGGGTCAGTAACCCAGCCAGCAGCAAGCCGAGGAAGAAGGAACAGCGTTAGGCGTGGAGGGGCAAAGAGGGACCACGCCTCCCTTTCCCAGTGAAAGCAGCCAGCTGTGGCAGGCCAGCTAAAAGAGTAGATATTCTCAGTGTAAAGCATGTTAAGTAGTTTTATTGCCAGCTGGGATTGGACACTTAATTACTGAATTGAGACTGTGTTTTCTACTTAAAGTGATTGTAGAACTTTCTACTACCCAGGAGTTATCAGAAAAGTTATAGGACTTATCCAGGTTTTTATCCAGGGGCATGAATATGTTCAAAGGGACAGTAGGAGGTAAGTGAAGTTGGCTTATGATTATATACATGTGGTTTTGCGTATGCTCGTTGTACTGGTTACACGAAGCTCTGAGGAAGGGTTGTTCACATGCATAGGTGCAAAGGCCGTGTTTTACAGTGAGCACAGGTAGAGGGCTTGCTCGTCTGTTGGGTGTGCAGTGTGAGAGGGAAGAACCAAAGATGTGACATCAGCCACTGGGGAAGGTGGTGCCCTTTCTTGAGAAGGGAGACTTGGGAGTGAGATATTTGCTCGGTTTGTTTCAGTGGAGTAGTAGTGGAGCCCAGGGACTCTGATTTGCCTCCATAATGTTTCAAAGGACTGGTTTCATGCAAGGGAGACGCTGAGTATACAGTTGGGTATATGACAGGGAGCTCAGAGGAGACAGCAGGGCTGAGGGTGTCTGTCTGAGATCATGGGTGGAGTTTAACATCATGGGAGAGGATGTGATTGGCTCAGCAAGGAATGTAGGAGGAGAAGCAAAGAAGGCCCAAGACCGAGCCCTCTCTGAGCTTGGCTGTTGGGGGAATTCCAACATTCCGAAGACAAGTAGGAAAGAAGGAGCCAGCGAGAGACCAAGGTGGAGCCTTCGAGGCACGGTAGAAGCAGCACCGCGAGCATGCTGCGTCTTGGAAGCAGAGCTAAGAAAAAAGTTTCTAGAAAATGACCTAGGTCCTAGAAATGATCAACCAGGTCAGAGGTCGAGAAAGATGCTGGTAACTTGACAAGAGCGGTTTCGGTGGTGGGGGTAGAAGCTCGGAAGGTGCAGGTTAAAGGTGAGGCAGGATGAGAGTGAGGACGGCAGGTGGAGTCGGCTCTTTCCCGGAGCTCCCTGTGAGGTGTAGCAAGACGGTGGGAGGGAGCTGCAGGGAGAGATGGGGGTTGGCTGGTGGTTTTTTTCTAAAGTAAACTCTATTTGAGATAATTGAGGACTTATGTGCAGTTGTAAGAAATAATACAGAGAGATCCCGAGTCTCCTGTAATGGTTACACCCTACAGAACTAGTGTGCCTCACAACCCGAATACTGACACTGATGTCATCGAGATATACAACATTCCATGCTGGAAGGACACCCAGGTTGCCTTGTAGCCACACCAACTTCTTTCTTACCCTCACTCCCCTCAATCCCTGTTAACCACTAGTCTCTTCGTCACATCTGTAATGTCAAGGAGGTTATGTAAATGAAACCATAGTATATGTCACTTTTTGGTATTGGCTATTCTCACTCACATGATTCTTTGGGGATTCATCTAGATTAATGTGTGTCAGTAATTGGTTCCTTTTTATGGCTGGGCAGTCTTCTGTGATATGGGTGGGCTAGGTTTATTTAACATTTACCTGCTATAGGACATATGGATTGTTTTCAGTTTGGGGCTGTTGTGAACATAATTGCTCTACACATTGGTGTACAGGTTTTTGTGTAAACATAAGTTTTCATTTCTCAGGGATAAATGCCTCGGAGTGCAATTTCTGGCTTGTATAGTAGTTGCAAGTTTAGTTTTTTAAGAAACTAAAAATTTCCCAGAAGGCTGTATTCTGTTACATTCCCATCAGGAGTGGATGGATAATGTAGTCTCCTCACCAGTATTTGATGTTGTCATCGTTTTTGACTTTAGCCCTTCTGGTTAAGTGTGTACTGATATGTCGTTATGGTTTTAATCCACACTTCCTAATGGCTAATGGCGTTAAGTATCATTTCCTACTTTTTTGCCATTCGTTTATCTTCTTCAGGGACATACCTCTTCATATCTTTTGTCCACAGTTTGTCTGGATTGTTACTTTACTGTGAAGTTTTCATATATTCTAGGAACTAGTTGGTTGTCAGAGATGTGGCTTGCAAATACTTTTTTTCTAGTCATTAACTTGACTTTTCATACTCTTCACCTGGTTTTTCACACAACACGCATTTTTAATTGTGAAAAAGTCCAGTTTATCAGTTTTTCCGTTTGTAGATTGGGCTTTTAGGGTC